GGAGTCAGTGGAGTCGAACCATACACATTCATTGATTTAAGACTGCATGGGATGCTTTTGTGTCAGCCTTTAGCATGGGTATCTTTTAACGATACGTTTTGTTGTTTTGTACAAAAAATGCTTTATGGCTCTTGCCCTTCTATGTAATATATGTGAGGGTAATGACGAGTACTTTTGCACACTTCTGCCTTTGTTTTAGTGGTGAGTTATACAATTCTGAGGCGTAACAGGGTTGCATTAGGATTGTGAGATGCTGATGTGTTGTTTACGAAAAGAACTTTTTGTTTTATCTTAACCCTGAAGACCAATGCCCTGCACAATTTCTCTAATTCGAGAGAAATCTAAAACTTAATGAAGGTACATTCATGGATTATCTTTGGAATACCCAATGTCCTTTTTTTCTGATGCCTAAAGACCACAACACCATTGCTTGTTTATTATGAGTGTCAGCTTGTGAATATATTTAAAAGCCCCGCAGTTTGAAGCAGTGTTTTTTTCCTGAAGGCCACTATATAAACGTGACATCAGGATTTTTTTCTTTTACTTAGATGCAATGCAGACGGTTTATTCTGTTTTCCCTTTTTAAACCTTAACTTTTTTTTGTAAAATATCTATCATCGTGCTGTATCCTCAAACAAAACATCAAACTAGATTAGCACAAAAGCCTCCTGCAGATTTCCATATGTAATGTTTTTGAAATAATGCGTGGGATTTAAAAAAAAAAAAAAAAAACTATAATCATTTTGTGCATGTGGCAGGTCAACCGTTTTGACCTTTTGTCACATTTTCCCAGCCCTGTTTAAGAGATATTTGTACTCCAAAATTGCTTATTGTTTATTCCTAATGGCTTATTGCTCAAGTCATTTGATTTTGGTTATTCACATCCAAGTGTAAAGGGCTTTTGTTTCTTCTTTTTTTAAAGGTCATACAATGCATTTGTTTAAAGAGTTGAAGACCTTTCTGTACTTTGATGTAATTATGATTATGTATATGTAATATAGTTGTAATTTCTGTAAGGGTTGTATGTAAGTAAGATGGTTATTAAAATGTTACATAGAAAATCACCTGTGATCTTTGAGTCATGTGCAAAATGCTTTCTGGGGGAGGTTCTACCAGAAACATACATTTTCACTTAGAAAAATGTATCTGGGCCTGACTTTTAAGCTTTTTCTTTAAACATCATACAAAAATAAGCATAAAATCATACATATTAAATGATTCAACGCATTCTTAATCACTGGTAGCTTCTTTTTTATGCATATAGTGAGAATATACAATCACAGTATTATAAAGAAAATGAAAAAAAATGTTGAAATCAAGACAAAAACAGAAGGGGTATATACACATCACACAATAAAGTTTATATTCATAAAAAATATATCATTTACAAATTTCAGTGGTTTTAAGGCTTTTTTTTTTTTTAGTAAAACTGCATTTTTGTAAGCAAAATATATTTTAAAAAGGTTTTTGGTTTGTACATTTTACATTTATGTATATCAAACTTTGTTAATAAGATAAGAAGATTAAGGAAGTATATTTTATTTTCATGAAACTGTTCCGTTTTGCATATAACAAAACCAAACATTTTCCCATAGTAAGGAAAGGTCTTTATCAACATTTTTAATTACAAAGAGGGGAAAATCTTTTCAAAGCAAATAAGAATACATTGCCAAAATAAATGAACTGGGGACTCTGAGTTAATTACAAAATGAACATAGTATCAATATGTTTTTTGTATTTTATTTAGAGAGTATTCACTGGGCATGCACGATGAATAATTCTAAATGAAATATCTTTTATCTTATTTGTAATTAAGTAGCTATTTAGGATTAGGCATAAAATGAACACAATTCACAAACAGGATATTAAAAGTGACAAAATCCACAACGTCAACATAAACAGCAGAATCAACAGCAAATAATGAAAACTGCTGAGCTATAGACAATACGCTATAGAATGTATTCACACTGCAATGCATGCTGGGAGCTTTGTACTCTGCCACGCCCAATGTGTATTGCAGCATGAAATATTTTAATTGTTTTAATTACCTTTATTTTAATTACCTAATTATTTTAATTACCTTTGTTGAGGTATAAGGTCTGATTCTTGAGGTCTGAGAGTATCTTAAACATAACTGAACTGTTTTTAGTTTTTTTCAGTTCCCTGTCTTAACTGAAACATGAACTGGAGCTGACCACCCCATGATCTTATTCAGTATGTGGTCCGAATGTAAGAGTAGGCCAGATCTGAGCCAATATAGGGTCAGTTCTGCTTCATTTTTTTAAATTCTGGCTAATATGTGGTATTGCTTTGGAGTATTTGTGGCCCAGATCTGACGAACAGGAACGTACCACTCTAGATTCATCATTCCATTCAATATGTAGTACCGGAAGTAAGTGTTTGTAGTGGGCCAGATCTGGGCCAGAATAAAAGCTAATTGTGGCCCAGAATAGGGTTAGTTCTGGTCCAGATCATACAAACAGGAGTGGACCACCCTAGAGCCATCATTCCATTCAATATGTGGTCCGGATGTAAGTGTCTGGAGTGGGCCGGATCTGTGCAAGAATCAAAGCCAACTGTGGCCCAGAATAGGGTTAGTTCTGGTTCATTTGGTTAAATTTTGGCTAATATGTCGTATGTCAGCTGAACATTCAATGTTATTTAGTGTGGAATCTTTGGGTATATCCAGTCATAAACATCTGACCATAATGCATCCACAAACATACAGTGAAAAAAATAAATGATCTGTTGTTTCAAAATCATCACAAAACATACATTTAACAGACTGAAATCCAAATCTAATTCTTAAATATTCACTTGACAAGAGTTTTAACATGAATTTCTTTAGTTTTTGGAGAAAGATGAAAGTTTAAATATTTAGTTCTAACTATGTGGATGGTATCTTCAGAGAAATTATGTGAAACTGAGTTTCTACACTGCTGGAGGATAACTTATATAATGTTGTTAAATAGATTTCTAATCTTTTTGTTTGAAACTTTACTTTGAAATCACAGCCTTCAGTTAACACAGGAGGGACAGTTGGGGTTACGAGGGTAGAATAAGAAACTATTTATTTAATTATAAAAGCGATAGGAATGCCTTTAATGTGACATTTATTATTCAGGTGACATTTATTATTCAGGAAGACTTTTTTTTTTTATTTTTTTTTTTTATTGAAAATACAAAATCCAAATACAACAAAATGGGATTCAACTTTACAACTTGTGTGTCATATATGGAAGGCACAACACAAAATAATATACAAAGATACAAATGTAATATACAAAAAACATTCAAGTTAAATAAATCCAAGAGTGAAAGGAAAACGCAAAATTTAAATAAATAAATAAATAAAAATTAAGTACAACATATATATCAACTATGGCAAGTTATATACTACAAATAAATTGAACATTTTTAAGGCAATTTTGGTTTTCGTTTTAACCAGGGCATCTGAAAATATTTTAAGTTCTTTTTTAAATACAATAAGTAATGGAGGTGTTTTGAAATATCTACATTTATGAATAAAATATTTGGCTAACACAATTATCATATTTATCAAATCGTGCAAAGTAGAGCAATCTTTAGTAATTCCATATAGTACATCTTGTAATGTAAAAGTCAAACCTTCAGCATCCACGTTTTTTATTATCAACCAGTCTTGTACTTTTTTCCAAAATGATTGAACGGCGCTGCAAGAGAAAAATATGTGTTCTGTGTCTTCACTAAAGTGTTTACATAAATGGCATGGTGAGTTTTCTAAGTTAAATTTTAGGTGTAAGAATCTATTAGAAGGGTATATATCATTAAATATTTTAAATTGTACTTCTTTTGCCTTGGGGAGAATTGGAAATTTAAGATATGTTGTTCTAAAAAATTTAACAGTATTTTTATCCATTGAATGAAATAACCTATTTCTTAATACTTGATAAGGGAAACAAGATTGGATAATAATTTGTCTTAAATGTTTATTAGTGCAAAGTTTATTATCAAATTCAATCTCACCAGTATATAATAAGGGAAGGACTGGAGTAATCTTCGAATAGGATAGGTAACTTTTCATTAACATTTTTATACCTGAGGGTATAGCATTAATAACAGTGAAAAATTGCTTTGGATGACAAGCAAATCCGTGTCTTAGAGTGAAAGTATTGTAATCTAGAATATTGCCCCTTCCATCCATTAAGTCTGTTACTGACCAAATGTTTTTATTTAACCATTCTTCATAAAAAATGGATTTGTTCCTGTGTAGAATATACTTGTTATTCCAAATAGGGGTATTGTGAGGTGTAAAATTGTGTGTGTGCGCTAGTTTCCAAGACAGCAAGACTTGTTGGTGGAATGCTGAAAGCTTCACTGGGAGTTTAGGCAAGTCAAAGTCACATCTGAGAAGAAATCGGATGCCACCTAGTTTGTTAAACAAGGCACAAGGAACAGTGTACCAGAAACTTTCAGTATTACTCAAAAACCTTTGAAGCCATTTCAGTTTTAACATAGTATTCATACTTTCAAACTCAATAATATTAAGACCACCTTCTTCATACGATTTGATAATATCAGATTTTTTAATATAATGAGTTTTCTGTCTCCAAATAAAGTCATACATTTTTTGGTTACTTGTTTTTATGAATGCTGAAGAGGGAGCTAAAGCCTGAGCAGGATAAATTAGTTTTGACAGATATTCAACCTTGGATAGAAGAATTCGTCCAAAAATTGAAATATCTCTCTGCAGCCAGCAATTCAGGATACCATTAGCTTTATGTACTTTATTTTCAAAGTTTTCTTTGATGTTAATGTTTGAATCTTTTGAGATCACAATGCCTAAATATTTCACAGTTTCTTTTACTGGGATGTTAAACAGGGATAGATCTGGACTAGTGTGAAGAGCTAAAAGTTCACATTTGTTTAAATTTAATTGGAGGCCAGATGCTTTATTATTCAGGAAGACTGCGCTTTTGTGTGCATGCGGATGACGTCATGATTCCTGCGACGTTTTTTGCGTACTCGTCACGTGTGTTTTGAAGACGCGACGCGACCTGCACTCATAGCACTGTGGATATTTTCCCTCTATTGAAGCGATATTAATACAGTTTGAACAGTAATGTCGTTTGTGGAGGACGAAGCGTCAGACAGTGTAGTGGACTCGCGCTCGCGGCTGGAAAGCTACGTGTTCAGTAAGACCCATTGCGTGATTTATACGTTAGATAAGCTAACACACGTGGGACACCTGCATTGTCAGAAATGTCTCAGAATTGTGGCCAGTGATGATTAAGATTATTAAACACACCCTGGATTAGTGTGCAGCAAAGTGTAGTTCATATTTAGCCGATTTCTGCACTAACATGAATAATGAATGTGTTAATTGCACGGTTAGGTGTTTAAAACTGTGGTTTTGTGTCCCTCAGGTTGTGAGTTGTCTTCTGGAGTGCCATTTTACACATTTCAGGCAGATGAAGATGAAGACGTGGAGCATTTTCTCGAGCTTAGGACGGTTTGTAAAATATTTTAATATTTATTGATTCTGTTAAAAACCTTTATTGTCTCTATCACCTTTCATTTTTATTACAGTTTTCCACAAAGTACTAGTAAATGGGAGCTAGTAAACCCTGTTTTATATATATATATATATATATATATATATATATATATATATATATATATATATATATACACACACACACACACACAACAGTTCTGTCTGGTTCTCAAATCTGATTGGCTGATAGCCATGCAGTATTCTGCAATATCAGAACTCCTACAGCCTCTTTACTCTTTGTGTATTACTCTGCCCACATACAGCCAACAAAAAGCAGACACTACAGATCTAAAGTTTAAAAGATGCTTGCTCAGCTGTTTAACTGTCAGCTTATGATTTGAATCCAATGCGGAAGAAAGTAGTTCCTCATACAAAAGGGTTTTTCAGACTCTCCATGTTTGATTTAGTTTTTATATACACAATTATGCCGTCAAACTATTGTATAAACGCAATATCACACACGTAGCAGTGCGATATGTCTGTATATCGGCACTGGTTGGGGCACTAAGGTACTCGGCCAACGCACGCCTCCCACCAGTGCCGATATACAGCCATATCGCACTGCTACTTGTGTGATATTGCTCATATATATATATATATATATATATATATATATATATATATATATATATATATATATCTCTAGCTGCAGACCCACACACATTTCAGAACACACAATCCCAGTCACAAAATCTAGGCTTTCATAGGTTAACGCTATTAGTGTTACAGCTGCAGTTACTGAGAATGTGCACACAAATATAGCGTAATTTTTGCGAATGTACAAAATTAATTAATGTTTTTTTTCATTACTGTAATGGGTAGGTTTAGATTTGGAGTAGGTGTAATGGCCCGTTTTCACTGAATTTTGGTTTATACTTCTGCGTCATGTGATCGGCATGACCCACGGCACATGCAATGCATGTAGCTGAGCGTTTATACTTCTGCGTGCTGTTTGTGTTGCTCTGCGATAGCACTTTAGAAACACTAGCAAGCAACTGGATGCTATTGGTTTACAGAGATGCCTCACTAGCTCCTGCAACTAACGAGAATGAAAACAAAGGAACCGCCATTTTTAAAAGCACAGCCGAGACATTACACCATAATAATATATACATATAATAACGAGCCATGGTCGACCCAAGCTCAGACAAACCTGGTCATCACCTTGATGTACAGCTACAAAGCCAAGAAGAGCAGAATCTGCCATATCCTGTTTTTGTTTTACGAGGCCGTCTAAAAGTGCGATCAGTTTCACTTTCTTCAGAGAGCTTGCCATCACCTGCCGCACGTCTGTATTTGAAATAAAGAACTTCTAGAACTGATGATAATAATGTGGGCATGATTATTGAAGTGCTTCTGACACCCGATCCTTGCAGAAATGAACAAATGTGTGTGTAAAGTGCGAAAACGCAAAGGAGAAGCTGGAAAAAACAAAGGAGCAAATGATTCTTTTAGAAACCTAAACCATAAACAAACTGCTGTGTTTAACTATTATCATCATCTTTTGGACTATTATGAACTCGGAATGACGGAATTACTTTCTAACAGAGGTTACATGTGCTGGTGAGGATTGAAGACACAGATGAGAGGTTTGCTCTGACTGTGGGCTATATGTTGCATGTTGTTTTTGAACCCAAATAAGGACTAAATCTTTGCTGCGTGAAGATTATCTGTAATTGGTAACATATAAGAGACTGTAAGAGGGTGTATTTGTTCATATGTGTTACATTTATAACATTCATTTTAATTTATTATTGAGTTGCAACAGTAGGCTATTTTTATTATTGATCTGCAGTTATAATCTGATCATGTTCATAGAAAGGTTAGTAATGAACACTTGTACACAAGTGTTTATGTGTATAAAACATCTGTTTTGTGAGAAGTGCTTCTCATATGATGTATGAACGACCCATACAGCTTTACTTTGACATTTCAAGCAAGAATCACGTCAGCTGAAAACCATTGGTACCCTTTTGCCAGTGGAAACGCAAGCCTTTAAAAGATGACAGTGGAAACAGGCCATAAAACACACCAGGGTACTGCGATGTTGGGTTTAAGGTTGGGGTAGGTGTGTACAGTAATATAACACAATAGGTTGAAATGACTAACTAAATATCTCCTCAAACTATGGTCAAAATGGTATAGTTAATTATTGCAAAAATATTATTAAAATGAACATCATAAAAAAATACATTTAAATTTTGTATTTGTAGTATTTTGTACATTAATAACTATTGCACATAGGTCAATAAATCGTGTTGACATTCTTAAATTTACATGGGGTACAATAGTAGGCCTAAGGACTTAGTCGCGATATGAACAGGAAAAATAAGACGATGACCAATGCGTCATTGGCCATATATGGTTCGCCCTGCCTAGATTTTGTGGTGGAAATTGTGTATCCTAAAACGTGTGTGGTTCTGCAGCTGGATATATCACCTTAATTTGGAGATATGTCCTTAGTTTCAGCAAATGGAATGATTTTTGGTGACAAATCTTATTTTGATCCATGTCTTGGGGAAAATGCTTTAAAGTTTCAGGAATTCAACAATACACTCTGGGCAAATTGACTACCCTTTCTTTTGTTCAGGCTGTTTTTGCCCCATTGACTTCCATTATAATCACATTTTTTGATTGCAAATCCATGACACCTTATAATCATGCATTCTTAATTGTTTGTTTTTTTTCTGTTGGGAAGATGTAAATGTATTTATTTTTGCTGTTGATCATTATTTGCATGGACAAGGCAACGAAATGCAGTTTCCGTCTAACCAGGAGTGCAATAGCAGCAAGTGCAGGATACAGGTATAATATATGAAGTGCAATTATAGAAAAGCGATGGTGATCTTTACAGATGGGCGTACCTTGAACATTATATACAGGTTGTATTAACTATGGAAATAGATTTACAATAGGTGACTATATGTACAGCTTTCTATCAATAAAAGGGTATACAAATAGATATGAACATTTACAAATGTATGTGGCGTGGGTATGTACAATATAGTTTGTGCGTGAGAGAGACATTTGCGCACTTACCTTGATATGTTTGAGAAAATAAAAGATAAGCAGCTCAGAACACGGTAAACATAGTAAGTTTATTTATGCATGCACACTATAATCTGCTATTTTACTCCATAGAACTCCATATAAAAGCCAGAAACGTTTTTGCGCAGGCCTATCTAGGGGTTAATACTGCCAACTGATGATCAACTGTGTAAAAGAAAGGTTTTACCTCTTCCAAACAGGGAAAAACACCAACAATCAAAAATGCATTACTATTTGTGGTCATGGCTTTGCAATAAAAAAATGTCATTAATATGGAAGTCAATAGGGCAAATACAGCCACGAACATAACCAAAGGGTAGTCAATTTGAACAGTGCACAAGGGTTCATGTAGAAGCAAACCTCAAACACTCTCAGTATTTTGAAAGATTTTTTTATTTGGTTTTATTGTGAATAACAAAAACTATTAAACCATGTTTAATGAGTGTGTTTTTGTGCTGCTATTTTAGCTGGTTTAATATTGTCACGGATTGATCATTATGACAGGAAAACCGCCTGGAAGGGACAGCAATTCTGTCCTCTGATTTATTGAATCATTCAGTCAATTAATATATGATTAGTTGCATCGTTCCTTTGAAGGATTCATTCAAAACTGCTGAATTATATACAAAAGTTGCAAGTGACTTTCTTTATGAATGGATTTTTGAATCACTGACTTATAAATTCATAGTGGAATGAAGTACCACAGTGTTGCGCTGAGAAAAACAAACAATATTGTGTCTAAAATGTAACTCGCACAATGATAACCTCGTTTGTTGCAGTTGCATGTGATTACCAGGATAAATATTGCTTAACTACAATCCCAAATCAGAAAAAGTTGGCAGAGTATGGAAAACACAAATAAAAAAAGAAAGTGATCTCTAAATTTATTTTGGCTTAAATTATTTAATTGCTTTATTTAATTTTTTCTTAAATTATTTTACATCATTTCATTGCAGACAGTATCAACACAATATATTTAATGTTTTGTCCAGTCAACTTAATTTCATTTGTAGAAATACATCCTTTCCTTTTATTCAGACCTGTAACACATTCAAAAATTAACACATTTTCCATACTGTCCCAACTGTTTCTGATTTGGGATTGTACATTATATAAACAAAAAAATATATACATTCCAATTTTTTATATCATAACTTGAATTATAGGGTCATTCTATCTGCAGTCTGATAGACTCTTATACTGTGATTGCACTTGATTTTTCAAGTTTGCTTTCTGCAAAGTGAGTGACAGTTGATAATGTCAGCTTTACAAATCATTCAATTCAATTCAGCTTTATTTGTATAGCGCTTTTACGATGTAGATTGTGTCAAAGCAGCTTCACATAGGTGGTCATAGTAACTGGAACAGTGTGGTTCAGTTTCATCAATTCATCATGAATTATTTCATTGTTTGGTGAATTCAATTTGAACATAGTGTGGTATCTTGACTGGAAATCATTCTCTTTCAGACACAATTTCGGTTGCATGGATGTCTGTTGAAATAACCAAAGTTTGCCTGCAAAAATTCAACAATGAACAATTGTTAAATGTGTTGTTCCTTTTGATCTACTGCCTGCAAACTTTTAAATGCAGTGCCACGATGCCCACTGTTTAACATCTACTCAACAACCAGTGTAGAGAACAACCATGTTTCTGCTTTTGACATGGATAAATGTCATTGATTATTTGTATATTTATTTTTGTACTATTTTATATGGGGTAAAGATATGCTATTTTAAATGGGGAACTATTTAATGTGGTTTAACAGTATTGATTGGAAACTTCAGTAAAAATGTATGTTTACTAGGGATGCACAAATATGGACATTTATGCTAATATTTAATTTCTATATGAAATATTATCTGATAAAATGCATAAATAATAAGTCTAATAAATGAAACATCAGCAAAGTGAAAAGCCAACAAAACCCTTATCATTTTTGAAAGTTGGCCATCAATTGCTATCATTTACATGACTTTTTGTGTGTTGTGGCTTTTGCTTTGGCACTGTCCTTGTCAAATTCTTTTCTATGGTCAAGTGTTTGGTGTACTGACTTCATAGTTGCTTTTTGTTTGACTTTCACCTGATGATCTTCATACATTTAGGAACTCTAGAGATGGCAAAACTACAGATGGTTTATGTTCTACTTCCCCCTTACGTTGCCAGCTGTTTTATTTTATAATGAATAACACTACTGTCCTAAATTCTCTTCAGCATAGCATTAGCTCTTGTAACACACACATTTGCATTGTGCTGTCACAATCAAAACCCAGTGGCCATCAGAAACCATGACAGTACTGTACAGAAGCCACGGTCCAAATTCTTGCAATTGGTCAAATTGGAAAGTCGTTGACAAATTCAGCAGTAGGGACACCCAATACATTGCTTCCGCTTCAGTATTGCAATGTGTGCAACTGCGAGAGTCAAGAATCAGGCACAGTGCTAGAAATTTCACTCTTATTGCCATTTTTTCAAGACTTTTTTTTGGCATTCAAACCCAAGCAAATTTTACGGGGGATGAGCAGAGTGAACGTTTAAAATCCCTGCCTTATGTTAGATCATGGGTCATCTCACTCAACCTCATTCATTTGTTCGTTTTCATTTGGCTTAGTCCCTTTATTCTTCAAGAGTCACCACAGTGGAATGAACCACCAACTTATCCAGCATATGTTTTACACAACTGATGGTCTTCCAGCTGCTGCCCAGTACTGGGAAACACCCATACACTCTTGTATTCACACACATTCTTACACTACGGCCAATTTAACTAATTCAATTCACCGTTACTACATGTCTTTGGACTATGGGGGAAACCAGAACATGCAAACCACACTGAAATGCCAACTGGTCTAGCCGAGATCAGCAACTTTCTTGCTGTGAGATGACAGTGGTAACCACTGAGCCATTGTGTCGCCCCACACACACTTACCTGTAGATTTTAAACAAGCCTGAAGGACTCAATTAGTTTCATCAGGTGTGTTTAATGAGAGTTGGAACTAAACTGTGCAGAGCTGCGGCCCTCCAGGAACTGAGTTAGATGATGCTGAATGAAAAATAGAGATGTCCCTGTAATCATAGTGGCGCTGCACACTTTTTTGCTTCTGATACTCGCTTGTTGCACAGAAGCAGAAGTCACCCTCAAGCCTTTTCATTAGTTATCGCATAAGCATTTTCACTTCTGTTTAACCTCCTTTACTGCAGCACAAAAATACCCGGTCAAAAGTTTACAGGAAAAAGTTACATGCCATGAAGTAAAATGAATACATCTGAAGATAACTCATTACATCATTTGTGTCTTTGCTCTATTGTACAGGGTTGGCCACTTATATGGATACACCTTAATAAAATGGGAATAGCTGTTGATATTAATGTCCTGTTTGTGGCACATTAGTATATGTGAGGGGGCTTGTAAATAACTTATGAAAGAATAAAGTTACGTTAAAATCAAGCACATAATTTTTTTTTTTTTGTAAAATTCCCAATAAGTTCTTTATTTGTCTGTGCCTGTATTTTGTTTATTATAATATATGTAGATGCACTATCCTACAAAATCTTCCCAGTCAACCTATAATTGTGAATTATTTACAAAATAAGCTTTTTAAATCATCTTATGAAATTAAATGCGCATCGGAATGTGTTTTGCAGAAACACTAAATGGCACAATGACACAATGACACAATCTTAATGTTTAAACACTTTTATGGGAGAAAAATCCCTGAGTTCCAAATTGGCATATTGTGTTAGAAGAATTGATTGTAACACACACAATATTACTTTTATGATTTGTGATGACCTGCACTTTTAAAGGCATGACCATCTACTTTTCTCTTATGCTATCAGATTTGTCTGGGTGACGGTGCCAAAGAGGAGAATAACGTGGTGGAAGTGACCGCTATGAATCACCAAGGAAAGAAAATATCAGTGCCTGTAGCTAATCTCAACATTACTTGCCTGCCGATGGTAATGATTTGAATTTCAGTTACATTTTTCTGTTAATATTGAAACAGAAACCAAACTGTTAAGCATATTCTCATCCAATGCCCAATTTTTTGTTATCAGGCAATGATTTTTATCTGAAGAGAAATGTTTTTAAATGTGAATCCTACAAAATTGTAAATGTGTGTGTGTGTGTGTGTGTGTATATGTGTACGTGTATGTGTATATATGTGTATATATATATAAAATATAAAGTGTTTTAGTTTTTAATCTTATATTATTATTATTACTATTTATGTATTTTATCCTATTGTTTATTGATGTTGACGACTTTTTATTGTTAGAATATTTATATAATTATAGAAAAGTGATGTTTATAAAATGTTGTAAACTTGATCTGCTTTTTTTTTTTTTTCGCCATGACGTAGCCGGAGAAGCTGATATGGCAATAAACTCTATGAACTATTTATCTCCATTTTTCTGTTATAAGTTTTCCGATCAGTGTTTTTCACCTCTGTTTGCACTCAGGTAAGCCTCGGAGAGTTTGAGTTGATGGCTCCCGTCACACTGCGTCTGAAATCTGGATCTGGACCAGTGACTATCAGCGGCTTACATTTAGTTGGTAAAGAATAAGCAGCAGCCACTCTCTATATCAGCCCTTTCTTTGTTGTTGAAAATGAATAAAGCTAATTAGGTTTCCTTCAGCCACAGAGAACGAAGAGTCTGAAATATCAGATGAAGATGATGAAGAAGATGATGATGAAGATGACAGTGAGGAGGAATTGCCCTCAGTCAAACCAGCCAAGAAAAAGCAGAAGGTTTAAGCCTCACAAGATACGATTTGAGATCTTTGCATCAGACCTTTCTACATTTTTATACATTAGATTTAATGTTCTTCTATACCACGTGACTGAATGTGGTGTAGACATTAAAGCAATTTTGTACTGTCAGATGTTGAATAGAGAATGATTGAATCATCAATACAGCCAGCATCATAAACATCTCTTCATGCTTGGTGTTTTGTTTTTGTTAAACTGTTACTTAAGTGTATGTAAGTAACTGCCCCATTATACCTCCAGTTGACTCTGTTAGAGGCACTCTGGAGTTTACAGTCCTGTCACCACTGTGTCATCTAGTTGAGACACCTTTCACCTTGGCTTGATTTCCCCAAAACACACTGAAAGATGCTGCACACAGGGAAAAGCCTGTCAATCCACATCTGCCTTAAACACAAGCGTATTTTCTTCTGATCACAGTGTTGAAATGATGACGTACTTTTTTGGCAATCTGGGTTTTTAAATCTTAGTCACCATTGGAAGGACTGATATTACTTTGCATGGTGTGTTTGAGGTTGAGATCAGTCAAGGACTTGCCATTTTTGTATTTTTACAGATTTATTTACAGATTCTGTAAATAAAACTTGTTTTAGTAGAATCTGTGTTGTTACTTTTCTCAAAAGATCGCTTAATGACTGGCAAATTCAGCAGGGTGAACTCTGTGTAGTTCTGTGAAACCAGTGGATTGTGTGACAGATTGACAGACCGTTGTAATGCAGATAGGATAGTTATGCATAAAATGAACACTAGTGGTTTTTCAGGATGATAAATGCTTTAATCCATGGCTCTTAAACTCAATTTCTAGAGGGCCGCAGCTCTGCACAGTTTTAAGCTGCGGTCACACTGCACTTTTCTCCCCATAGACTTCCATTCATATGCACGCAAATGTGTCAGGCCAGATACGTAAGGTTGTGCGGCAGGTTTTGCAGTTTGCTGCGTTGGAAAGTTCAAGCTCGGTGAACCAAGATCAAACATGACCTCTCTCTCTGGACAGAAGTTTAAAACATGGATCAATCGCTCACTTTTAAAATGTCTAATAATCTTGTTTAATCTCGCCCATTTTCGCAGCACTGTACCACAGAATTTTGCACACTCAAACTCTAGACTAGAGCAGGGATTCCCAAACTTTTCAGCCCGCGACCCCCAAAATAACAATGCCAGTGACTTGCGACCCCCAATATCCTCTGAGGTAGTTATAAATACAGAAACCTTGCATGCAATGACGCAGACACACCAATTAAATTTGTGTAAGTGCTTTAAATGTGCCAGAAAGTATAACCTGATGTTATAAAATCAAAATGCATCTGACGCTATTGCTGCCTTTAATATAATGTAATTACCCCAGGGGTCGCAATCCAATAAAACTAGTAACTATAAGCTACTATAGTAACTATATAGTATATAGTAACTATAAACGACTATTTTTATTTTCAGTATAGTTATGGATAAAATATGTTAATTCTTATGGTTTAATAAAATAGATTTTTGGAAATCACCAGGCGACCCCCCTTCATTGCCACGCGACCCCTCGGGGGGTCCCGACCCCCACTTTGAGAACCACTGCTCTAGAGTGACTGCGACATTACTCGAACCCTAATCAAACACCTCTGATCCAAATAATCAAGGTGTTCAAGAGAGTCTGAACCCTTTGTTTAGTTGCATCAGCTGTGTTTAATTAGGATTGGAGTTAAACTGTGCAGAGCTGCGGCCCTCCAGGAATTGAGTTTGAGACCTGTGCTATAATCATTATTGCTAAATAATCAATTTATCACAATATTGTATAACGATTATCATCAATAGATTAAGTTTAATACATAATACTCATAATGAAACCTGAGCACAACAGCAAGAGTCTTATAAAATGAATTCATAGTTTAACCTAAAGTTAAATGTTGTCAAATTGAATAGTTTCTTTATTTTTGTCCTTTGCTGCTTGGGTGTTTGATGAATAGTGGCTATTTCTAGGTATTTATGAGTAGTTTTTACAGCCATATCACCCTGCAGCTCAAGACCTGTTACTTACTGAAGCTAAGCAGGGCTGAGTATGGTCAGTTCCTGGATAGGAGACCACATGGGAAAACTGGGTTGCCGTTGGAAGTGGTGTTAGTTAGGCCAGTAGGGGGTGCTCAACCTGTGGTCTGTGTGAGTACTAATGCCTTAGTAACGTGAAGGGGACACTCTGCTGTCAGGCGCCATCTTTCTGATGAGACTTTAAACTGAGATCCTGATTCTCTGTGGTCGTTAAAAGTTTCATGGCACTACTCGTAAAGAGTCGGAATGTATGGCTAAATTCCGTCCATTGGCCCTTACCTTCATGGACTCCCAATCATTCCCATCCACCGAATTGGCTCTATCACTGTCTCTCCACTCCACCAGTAGCTGGTGTATGGTGAGCGCACTGGCGCCATTATCCTGTGGCGTCCAAGTGGATGTTTCACACTGGTGGTGGTGTTCATGATAGTGAAGTGCTTTGGTTGCATTGCCAGATACAATAAATTTGCTAAATAAATATACATTACATTATATTTCTACTTTTTAAGTTTGTTTTACCTTATAACAGACCCGTTTAATGATTCTAATGCAACAACTTTTCTCAGAAAGTGCCTTAGCACTGGTTTTTTCCTGGATGATAACAGTGGAATTGTTAGATACAAATCTAAGTCCATTTCTTTCCCCAGTGAAGATATTGCAATTTTTTTATCTCATAATTGTACTGTTGTGTCTCAAAATGTAATCCGGAAAGTTCATAATTGGAAGATTATAGTATAGCAACTCTGAGAAAACCATTTAGGCGACACAGTGGTTAGTTAGCACTGTCTCCTCACAGCAAGAATGTCGCTGATTTGAGTCAGGTGGCATATCTGTGTGGAGTTTGCATGTTCTTCCCGTCTTGATGTGGGTTTCCTCCAGGTGCTCTGGTTTCCCCCACAGTCCAAAAACGTGTTATGGGTGAATTGAATAAACTAAATTGTCTGTAGTGTGTGTGTGTAAATGAGTATGTATGAGTGTTTCCCAGTACTGGGTTGCTGCTGGACGGACATCTGCTGTGTAAAACGTATGCTGGATAAGTTGGCGGTTCATTCTGCTGTGGCAACTCCTGATGAATAAAGGGACTAAGCCGAAGGGAAGCGAATGAACAAGAAAACCATTTAGGGGTGCCAGATTTAAAGCCATAATTGTGAAAACTATAAGCTCGAGTTGCAAAAAAGAGCAAGTAATGTTGAGAAGTTACACTAACAAAAGTTATGTAATGCTGAACGAAATCGCTGTTAAATGTTAACATAACTAATGCATTACTAACATAATTCATATATATTTAGTTAACATGAAGACATATCAAGTAATGCTTAACAGATGTCTTGTTCATTATGACATCATATCATGTTAACTATTACATTAACCTAATGCAACCTTATTGTAAAGTGTTGCAATTATTTGACTAGCATTTGTGCCATGTTTACCATTTGACGTAAAACGACCACTCTTGTATGTCTATGAATTTGTTAAGAAGCAAAAATGAATTAAAATATTTTATCACAACTGCAAATTGAATATCAAGTAATAAACAATTTATCTGTCTTAAGTATTTCTGTATTGTAATAAATACATATAAATATTATGATCATACTTGGGAGAGCTCTTACTGCATCTAATGCATTGAAGCAGCAATATATATTTTACTAATATGGTTTACTCTCATTTCTGACCTTGAAGTGTTCTCTGTCTAAGTATTTGTTAGAAAGCAAACATTAACTAATATCTCATTATAACTTAGTTAAACATGTTTTGGTTTATAAGATTGATCAAAATTAATCATTAAAAATACTAATGATGTAGATTAATAATTAGTTAATTTTACATAAAATGTCCTAGTACAAATCATATTACCATTCTTGTGACAGTGTATATGCTATTCACCCCAATGGATGAACCTCATGGTTCGCCTCACTTCCTGTCTGCGGGTCTGCAGCTGGATATCTCCCAAAAAAGTAGTGTGCGATATAAGCTTAAAATAAAAGGTCTAGCCAGCGTCTAAGGACAACGTCATTTGATGTCCAATAATGACATCAAATGACGTTGATATTTAGTTGATTTTAGGTTATGGTAGAAAATGACCAAAATCCAGCGAGAGCCAAAATCTTAAACCAACGTCATATTGATGTCAAATACTGACATTAATTCATCGGTTATGGCAACTAAAATCCAACGTCTGATAGACGTCATAGTGGCAACATCCACACAACGTCAAGCTGTAACAACATTTGATATTTGGTTGATTTTAGGTTGGATGTTGGACATTGACGTTGGCCTGAGGTTGAATTCTGATGTCAATCTGATTTTCAGTCCCAAAGAAAATATGCAATACAATGTCAATCTGATGTCATGTTGACATCTTGTGCTTGCTGGGTGTTTAAGGCCATTTTGGTCATTGTACAGTAAACATTCATCATCTTCTCATCAGTGACATGCATCTAAACAGTCTCTGGGTAAATGCATGTAAAGATTTTGGACATCAACTTGGACACTTTTAACACTTCTAAACAGTTTGCTGCAATTATAAATGACCCATGTCTTGAAGTAGTTCATGATAATGTAATTTACCTTTGAATGGACAGGAATCACAAGACTGATTTTTTAAAATCACCATAGACAAGAAAAAATAAAGTAGTGACTGCAGGTTGAAGGAAAGTAGTGGAGTAAATTTACAGCACTAAAAATTTACTCAAGAGAAAGTAAAAGTACATATTTCTAAAACTACTTAATAAATTACAATTCTTGATAAAAACTGCTCAATTACAGTAATTTTAGTATTCCCTTTAGTATTTGGCTGGTCATTTTCCAGCCTGACCAGCTAAGACCAGGCTGGAAATGGCTGGAAACCAGCCTGGAAGTGGCCAAAACCCCTCTAAAACCAGCCTGGTCGACCAGCTAAAACCAGCCAACCAGCCTAGGCTGGTTTAAGCTGGATTTTTTAGCAGGGTTGTAATTAGTTACTTTACACCACTGTTGTTTCAAACCTTTTTATTTTAAAGAAAGCTGTAAATGTCTTATCACTGACTTCCAAAGTATTGGTTTATCCCACTTAGGAAGTCAATGGCTTCAAAATAAATCTTCTGTTAGAAGGAAGCCATTTTGGAACCACTTGATGAGGAGTAAATAGTAAGAAATTTATCATTATTATATTAACCTAATGAGGTCTAGACTTTAAAGCAGTCAAAAGGTAAGTCGCAATGTAGGTTAAATGTTTAGGTTTACCTTTTTATGTATTCAGTTATAAACCCATTTATTTTCATACTTTTGTGCTAATACCTAAAATGACTCTGAAACCCAGTTGTGAAAGGAACGACGGCGGCTCCTTTATAATGACGCCACTAGCAAGTGACGTCACTTAACTCCCCCTAGTAACCAGCGTCGGCGTCTCGAAAGGTACTTGCAGAAAGATGGTGAGAAGTTATCGGTCTCTAGTCCTGTCTTTGTGTTGTTTGTTATGAATTGAGCTTTCGAAACCAGAAGTCGGCGCGTGAGGTTTTGATCATTAGCCGAAGTGTCGTGTTTTCTGTAGAGATGAAGACTGATGTATGAGCGGGGCTCAGTCTCAGTTCCATTCCTGTTACTTTAAGTTCATTAAGCAAATCCAGTCAAGAAATTATACAATAAACTAAGCACAAATCTGAAATCCGCGTTTTAATCGACCTTCTGTGTGTGTAAAATTACGTTTAATGTTATAGTAGTGTTTGTTAATAAACATGACATTTTAACGTCAATTGTTAGAAAAGATAAAACCTACATATTTACTTAGATCAGAACATGACAACGATATACAGTAATCAACATGTGAGGTGTATCAAAACCTTTCGTCAAAGTTGTCCTAAATCTATGGATCAGCACTTATTCTTGTCTTAGTATGTTTTAAAAATCTTTTTTGATCCACTTCAAATGTTGTTGTACTGAAAATATTACTCTGAAAATTGTTCCAAGAAAATAAATGTAATTTTCTGGCATAAATGTTAACTTTTAGGTAAAAAAAAGGTGATCAAGGTTTTATTCTGCAGTAGTTTGTCAATGCTTATGTTTTATCAACAAAAATTAAGTACAAATAAGTAGAATTATATTGTATGTAAGTTTTCCTACACTGACATTTAACATGAAGGGATTAATCCATGAACACACCAGTACAAAATGTGTAACATTTTTAAATGGCTATTTATATTAGGGCTGGGCATTTGGCCTAAAATCTAAAATCTCAATTAGCTAATCATTTTAACTCGATTACGAAAAATGGATGGTACTGACAGGTTTTGTGCAGTAAACATGCTCACATATTACAAGTGAGATATTTCTGAATGAAGAGTGCATTACTGGATTTTAAAATAACTGATGTAAACTCACACTTTTAACTATCTGTGATTATTTATTGAACATTAACACTGAACAAGTGAAATTAAAGCACACATTGCCTAAAACAAACTTTTCATATAAAAACGTTAATAAATAACTTTTTTTTATTTTCAATGTTTTTCATATTTAAAGTAGAAAATAAGGAGTATCTCAAATTAAATAACTCTAGTATATCATGTAAATAATATTTTAACAGGTCACTTCTTGCATCTTCTGTAAACAAATATGTTAATATAAGTAATGACTTAAATGGGCAACACGATGGTGCAGTGGGTAGCATGAGCTCCTTACAGCAAGAAGGCCATTGGTTCGAGCCTCGGCTGGGTCAGTTGGCATTTCTCTGTAGAGTTTGCATGTTCTCCCCGTGTTCTTGTGGGTTTCCTCCGGGTGCTCCGGTTTCCCCCACAAGTCCAAAGACATGCTGTACAGGTGAATTGGGTAGGCTAAATTGGCGTAGTGTATGTGTGTGATTTAGTGTGTATGGGTGTTTCCAAGTAGTGGGTTGTAGCTGGAAAGGCATCTGCTGCGTAAAACATATGCTGGATAAGATCTTGGTTCATTCTGCTGTGTCGACCCCAGATTAATAAAAGGGACTGTACCGAAAAGAAATTGAAGGAATTAATGGAAAATATGTTGTCTAAAGGCATCTCTGGCGCAGCCTCCAATCATCATCAGTGCAGTTCAAAGTAAGACTCAAGAATGAGTCCATCATCTTACTTGACCAGAATCAGATGTGGCTGCAAAGTGGCCGCAGAAGTAGAAATCAGTATTAAAAGAGCAGGGTCACCTGACTCCACACGCGGTAGGAAAAGTAATTGAAAAAATTGACCGGGAAGATTTTGATCAGTTATATGTTATAAATGTCGATTTTGATTACTTTTAGATTAATTGCCCAGCCCTAATATATATCTTACAATATATTTCAATAATTAAACTAAATAAATTAATTAAAAAATCAATTTCAAAATAACAAGCTAACAAATTATCCATTCATTCATTAATTTTCTTGTCGGCTTAGTCCCTTCACCAATCCGGGGTCGCCACAGCAGAATGAACCGCCAACTTATCCAGCAAGTTTTTACGCAGTGGATGCTTTTCCAGCCACAACCCATCTCTGGGAAACATCCACACACACATTTACACACACACTCATACACTACAGACAATTTAGCCTACCCAATACACCTGTACCGCATGTCTTTGGACTGTGGGGGAAACCGGAGCACCCGGAGGAAACCCACACGAAGGCATGGAGAACATGCAAACTCCACACAGAAACGCCAACTGAGCCGAGGTTCGAACCTGCAACTTTCTTGCTGTGAGGCGACAGCACTACCTACTGCGCCACTGCCTCGCCGCTAACAAATTAATATCTACATATAATTCGTGGACTAACAGATTTGGATTTATCGATGGACTGGGACAAGGTGTGGTCTAATCTTAAGTTCTAAAAACTTAGCTCATCATATCCAAATCATACATAACTCCTTATAAGAGGTTTTAAATGAAACTGCAGTCGAACTACAACTGTCATATCTGTGACACTGTATCTTCAGGTACTTTTCTCTTGTGAATTCTCTTGTGAATTTCTTCTTGTTTTGTCCTTTTTACAACAAGTTGGTTATGTGTCTAATCCTGGTTCTTGTCTTCTCAATGACGATTTCTAATTTCTGTATAAATACACTAAAAAGGAGAATGTTGTTTGCTGGTTTTACAGCTGCAAAGAAGGCAATCATACAAAACTGGATCACTCCGCACATGTGTGCAAAAAAATTTGAATTCATAGAATTCTTAAAATAGTGACTTGTGAAGGTACAATAGCACATATTATAAAAAAGCCAAACATCATTTCTCTTCCAACATTTTAGACAGCATGGGTCTCAAACTGGATTCCTGGAGGGCCGCAGCTATGCAGTTTTGCAGAGCCCTAATCAAACACAGCTGATCCAACTAATCAAGGTATTCAAGACTACAAGGAACTATTAGGCAGGTGTGAGTTGGAGGTGGTTGGAGACAAAATATGCAGAGCTGTGGCCCTCCAGGAATTAAGTTTGGGACTACTGATGTAAAGGTATGACCATATAAAGTTTTTTCCCCAGTTTTTTCCCTCTTCTTTAAGATTGAAATATTGTTGATGTGTCTGTTGCTCTTGCTCCCCCTGCCCTGTTTCTTTGTCTGTTTGTTTGTTTGTTTGTTTGTTTGTTTGTTTGTTTGTTTGTTTGTTTGTTTGAATGTCTGTTTTTTTTTTGTTAATCTAAAGACAATAAAACGTTCATCACAAAAAAAGCTACATATTATTTTAGTTTTTTCATACTTTGTTAAATACGCTTTTTCACTTAGAGAAACAGTACTTTTTTCATAAATGTTTTGGTAAAATTTTAATTCAGTTTGTGTTTGTTTGTATTTTGCCATTCTATGTTTATTCCAGGGTTTATTGTCAATCCTTCGAAAACTAAAAAGTGCCCCAGACCAGGAGGTGCGCATTCTCCTCCTCGGCTTAGACAATGGTGGAAAGACGACACTTCTCAAACAGCTTGCTTCAGAGGATATTAGTCACATCACCCCAACGCAGGTAAAACACACAAAGGCCTGGGAATTATCTCTCTTTTGCAGGAACTACAAATTGCTTTGAAAAGAGTTGCAAAGTTTTTTCTACACTTTTATAGTATAATCTCTTACGTCCTTACACCTTCATTGTTCTCCTGCATTCACACAGCACAATTTTGCCCAGTTGCTTCTAATTCTTCTGTCCTTGGCAGGGCTTTAATATTAAGAGCGTTCAGTCTCAGGGCTTCAAACTGAATGTCTGGGACATAGGAGGCCAGAGGAAGATAAGGCCATACTGGAGAAACTACTTTGAAAATACTGACATGCTTGTGAGTGTTTCCTGTGTGTTTATGGTTTGAGCCTCGGCTCAGTTGGCGTTTCTGTGTTTCTGTGTGGAGTTTGCATGTTCTCCCTGCGTTCGCATGGGTTTCCACCGGGTACTCCGGTTTCCCCCACAGTCCAAAGACAGTTGAATTGGGTAGGCTAAATTGTCTGTAAAGTGTGTGTGTGAATGTGTGTGTGGATGTTTCCCAGAGATGGGTTGTGGCTGGCTGCGTAAAAACTTGTTGGATAAGTTGGCGGTTCATTCCGCTGTGACGACCCCAGATTAATAAAGGGACTAAGCGGACAAGAAAATGAATGAATGAATTTGCGTTAGCGAGCAGTTAGACAGGTGTACCTAATAAAGTGGCCAGTGAGTGTATACGCTAGGTTGAAATGTAATTTATTGCTTTGATGCAGAGTTGATTTATACTGCAATCTCTTCAGTGTCGTGATCTTTTAGAAATTATTTTAATATTTGGTGCACATAAATCTCTTATTATCAATGCTGAATACAGCTTGAAATAGATCTTATAAATGTAACAAACTGGCACCTACTATTACTTGTATTCCTTTTTATATTTAGATTTTAAGTCATAAAAAAATTCACGCAGTTTATTTAAATTTCTTACTTTAAGCAATGTTTCTTATGTGTTGCTTCGTGTGATTATTTTTGACATTCTGGTTTGCATTTCAGATTTATGTTATAGACAGCGCAGACAGGAAGAGATTTGAGGAAACGGGACAGGTATATAATTTAGCAAACCTGCTTATTATTGCTATCTTGTGTATGCATACGTCTCATTCCTTCCACTATACAGTTCACTGCATTATACTGTATTATACTAACTCAAAGAAATCTCAAAGAAAGAAATTGTGTAAGCTTCTACTTCCTAGTTGTTTTTGTTGAATTGTTTATGTGGTGTGCAGGAATTGGCTGAGCTGTTGGATGAGGAGAAACTTAGTGGTGTGCCTGTTTTAATTTTTGCGAATAAGCAAGACCTGCTGACCGCTGCTCCGGCCTCTGAGATCGCTGAGGGACTGAACCTGCACATCATCCGGGACAGAATGTGGCAAATTCAGTCCTGCTCTGCTCTTACAGGAGAGGGAGTCCAGGTCAGTGACTACCATAAAGCTGGGCTATGCAATTTGTTCCTGAAAGATTTTTTGTTAAACTACTTGAAAATGGTTTACATTTTGATTGCATTCTGAAATTAAAGTGGTATGTAGTGTAGAAATTTAGCATAGAAGCTATTTTATAAATAAAATTAAAGTAGTTTGATGGAAAAATTTAATGTTATCTTGACAAAGCCACATAAAGTAGCATTTTGCTACCAAGGCTGGACATGTTGCTGGACATATTCCTGTTTCTAGATGTTAACACAATGTATTTATGAGGAATTTCAGATGATTGATGAACAGCATTTATGATGAAGTAACATGTTATTAGCATTTTGTTTATTTTTTTAGCCTAAATTTGTATTCTGACATAAATTAGCATGTTCCTTACACAGTTTTATAATTATTAACTATGTTGCTTACCTAAGTTATCATACTAGGATAACTTAGCATGTTACTGTTGCCTAATTAGCATTTCTAACATAAAGTACTTTGACGTTAGCATGACAAGTACGTAACATCTGAGTAAACTGAATTAGCACACAATTAGCATGAATTTACATGTTGCTAGTATGTTTTTAGCTCGAATTGACAAGTTGCTTGCGTGAATTAATGTTACTGTTTCTATCATGAATTAGCATGTTTCTAAAATAAGTTTCATGATCTAAAACAAATTTTCATATCATGATGTTAGTGTTTTTTTTTGTTTGTTGATGATTTAACGCATTAGCATTTTTCCTGCATGTTTCCAGCATAAACTATAATGTTGATCACATGAATTTGCATTTTGTTAACATGTTTTTAGCCTAAAATAGCATGTTTCAAGTTATCAAGAATGTTGTTACTGTTTGTCATTAATTACCAAGTTTTCTAGCATAAATTAGTATTTTGTCATCGATTACTATGCTAGCATGAACTTTAAACTGAGATTGTGATAGTATTTTTTATGATAAAATGGCATGTTATTGGCATGTGTTAACATTTTGTTAGCATGAAAGCATGAACATGTTTTACCTGTTGCTGTCAGAAATGTTAGTGGTGTTTGACATGGATTAGCATGTTTCTATCTAGTCTGAATTAGCATGTTGACATCATTAAGCACATTCCTCATATTTCTAGCACCAATAACTGTTGCTAACATGACTTAGCATGATTTTACATTAATTAATTAATGTTTTTATTAATTTAATTGCCTCAGCTGGGTCAGTTGGCATTTCTGTGTGGAGTTTGTTTGTTCTCCCCATGTTTGTGTGGGTTTCCTCCGGGTGCTCTGGTTTCCCCCACAGTCCAAAGACATGCCCTATAGGTGAACTGAGTAAACTAAATTGTTTATAGAGTTGGATTTGTATGTAGTGTAGTGCTGGATAAATTGGAGGTTCATTCCGCTGTGGTGACCCCAGATTAATAAAGGGACTAAGCTGAAAAGAAAATGTATGGATAAATTATTTAAATTGTTGCTAGCATGTTGCTAGCATGAATTAACGTGTTGATACTGTTTCTGTCATGAATTAGCCTGCTTATAGCATGTATTAGTGTTATTATTTGATTCATTGAATCAGTATGTTTCAAGCATGTGTAAGCCAGCTGCTATCAAGTATTTGAACGTTGTTAGCACATTTCCACAATGTATCATGTTTCATTTTTAAGATTTCATGTCAGTTACAAAAGATGTGTTGTATAAAACTTCAGATCAGTCTGGAGGAGGAGTTGCCTTTACAAATTTGGTCTCAGAAGAAGTAGAAGCTTAAAGAAGATTTCAGATTGTTGGCTTTGTCAAGCTTTTTAGGGAGCTTTGAAGGGAGGTTAGGATCTTGCTGTTGCTCTAGCTTTAATATTAGCTTAAATTTAGGTTTCCATAATTTCCATTAGACCTTATTTCATTTTAAGTGTTCTTTTGTTTCAGGATGGCATGAGTTGGGTCTGTAAGAATGTAACTGCGAAGAAGAAATAGTGAGCCGCCTTCATACCCCTGCAGAGAATGTGAAAAGCAAACTTTGTGGACTCTGTGGATTCTTTATCAGCTCGTCCAGGTTAAAGGAGGTTAAAGGAGACACTTCTGACCCCTCTGAACTACTTCAGCCACTGCCTCGATGACTCAGCCACCAGCTCTGTCTCAGCACTGGCCCCGTTTCCACCTGGTAGTAAGCATTTTCAGTAATCTGATCTCAAGTGGTCAGCCGAGACATATTAACATGCTCTCAAATGTGTCTCTTGTGACCACTTGTCTTCAGATTTTGTTGAGGCTTTTTACTCGTCAGGCTTCACATCACATTTGCAGGAGTGTTCTATGCTGTGCCTAAATACTGTTGCATGAATAAACCAATGTTACCAACGGAAAGGCAAAATAATTAAATCTATAATTTTGATCATGATATGTGTGTTTTGGTACAGTGAAACATGAATGCTTTCTTTCGGTACGTATTCTCACAGCACGTTTCATTCGAACACATGAGTTAGTGGAGGAAAGTAGATAGTGTCGGACTACCTCAAAAGTGGACAACCTCTAAACATTGTTGACTTTGTTTAAATCTTTATTCATCTCTATACATCTTTATTTAGCAACATTTGCTTGTACTTGCCCTCACAGGAAAATCATGACCAATATGTCAAACACACATAATACACTCTTTTCTGTAATACTTGATTCTGAGTGGTCAACATTTCTGAGTTACAACATTTCAAGCTACGTTTTGTTAGGCATGGTTGTTATTGCTGAATAAAGCCTGACAGGCTTACTTAATAAAACTGAATGCCTTTGTACTGCAATAACAACCATGAATAAACAGGGTGAGCCTTTTATATGGATACACCTTAATAAAATGGGAACAGGAATATGTGAGGGGGCAAACTTTTCAGGATGGGTGGTGACCATGGTGGCGATTTTAAAGTCGGCCATCTTGGATCCAACTTTTGTTTTTTCAATAGGAAAAGGGTCATTCGACACAACAAATGTATTAGGAATTTCACAAGAAAAACAATGGTGTGCTTGGTTTTAATTTACCTTTATTATTTTATGAGTTATTTACAGGTTTCTGACCACTTTCAAAATGTGTTCAATGTGCTGCCCATTGTGTTGGATTGTCAATGCAACCCTCTTCTCCAACCCTCTAAGTTTTTCCAGCAAGATGGTGGACCACCACATTATGGGTGTCAGGTCTGAGCATTTCTAGATGAACAGTTTCCTAAAAAGTGGATTGGTGGTCGTGGGCCAGTTGAATGGCCCCCAATGTCTCCCGATCTGACCCCCTTAGACTTTTATCTTTAGGGTCATCTGAAGGCTAATGTTTATGGTGTGAAGATACAAGATGTGCAGCATCTGAAACTATGGATACTGAAAGCCTGTGTTGGCATTTCTCCTGTGGTGTTGCTATCAGTGTGTGAAGAGTGGGAGAAGATGGTTGCATTGACAATCCAACACAATGAGCAGCACACTGAAAACATTTTATAAGTGGTCAGAAACTTGTAAATAACTCATAAAAGAATAAAGGTACGTTAAAACCAAGCACACCATTGTTTTTCTTGTGAAATTCCCAATAGGTTTGATATGTCAAATAACCCTCTTTCTATTGAAAAAACAAAAGTTGGATCCAAGATGTTAGACTTCAAAATGGTCACCATGGTCATCACCCATCTTGAAAAGTTTGCCCACTCACATATACTAATGTGCCACAAACAGACCATTAATATCACCAACCATTTCCATTTTATTAAGGTGTATCCCAAGGGTGTCCAAAGTCGATCCTGGAGGGCCAGTGTCCTGCTGATCTTTGCTCCAATTTGCTTCAACACACTTGCCTGGAAGAGCTTGATTAGCTTGTTCAGGTGTGTTTAATTAGGGTTGGAGCTAAACTCTCCAGGACACCAGCCCTCCAGGACCGATTGTGGACACCATTGGTGTATCCATATAAATGGCCCACCCTGTACTTTATCCTGCTTATTTCACAAATACATGCCACAAAACAAAAAAAATTAGGCACAAAATATTGTTTTGAGCCATAATACTTTATTAATTGTTTAATTAAACACAAAGCTGAAAAAAATAGACGGCTAAGTGAAGCTGATGAAGCATATAATAACATGTGCATTATTCAGTGACATTCAGCTATGTATTATTCAGTCACAGGATAGCTCCAAACAGTCAAAAACCATGGCATGACAGACAAACAGATGCAAATAAATGTTGTTTTAAGTATGTGGATGTGAACATATTAAATTGATGGTCAAGGTCATTTAGAGTTCTCGGATGAGCCTGTTTTATTTAGCGGTTGTTATTTCAGAATAACATAAGTTATTACTCAACAGAATTAAGTATTCTAGTAATTGAGAATTTGTATATATAAGCAATAAGAACCCGATGAAACTTATAACACACGCTCATTCTAGTACTTCCAATCCTCTTAAAGTGGATGTAAAGCAGTCCATTTACATTATTTTGTAAATTGATTTCCACTTTAATGACTATATTGAACAAACCCAAAAGCTGTGCTCTTTTTTTATGTCGCTAGACAACGATTATCAGCTGGGTATTGAGCGAGAGTGTTGCTGTGGATATTAATATAATTTTAATATTTAATAAAATGGTGGTATTCAAGAATAGTGAAGTCATATAGCTCTGGATAACTCAAAACAGCAACCACAAGCCTCTTCCCATCTTTAAAAGTCTCTGTTTTTGTCTTGACAACACAAACACTGCTGTCGCCTCAACGGAAACCCCACCTCTGCTTTCATTTGATTGGAGAATGAAAAAGACGTGAGTGATGTGATGCGGTTTTTCTGCTTAGAGTTTACTTTTTTAACTGTGAGCGCACGGTGCGCAAGGGAAAAAATGCAAGACGCATAAGCAGCTCTCGAGACCAATAATAAATCATTTTTAAAATGTGCCTCAACACAAAAAGTGTTCAGTGTGACTGACCCCTTCTGTATCTGTTTAGCTGAGGGAACCGAACCAACCCCGTGACTTCAAACAAAGCAATAGTCAAAGATGGCAGTGCCCTTTTTTCCAAATGGTTAATTTAATATTTTTTCAGTAAAGTGGAAACCAATTTAAAAAATAATGTAAACTTGACCTACTGCTTTACTTCCACTTTACCTGTCAGAGTATACATTAATTTCCATATTTACATTCTCATTTCCTGTGCCACTGTTTTTGACTGTTTGCTGCCATTTTGTGACTGAAAAATATATAGGTTAGCGTATACTCCACTCAGCCATTTTAGTTTCTGTCAGTTTTGTCTTTAATTAAAAAAATAATAATAAACTATTACCCCTCAGAATTCTTTGTTTTGTGGCAAGTAGCCTTGTAAAAAGACTGTCGCAAAATACAGCTCTTCAGTGTCTTTGTATCAGGCTGCCTGTTGAACTTTTTTTCTGCAATAAGAACCTGGATGTACTGTATTCCTTTCAAAACATTGTCTTGGAACATTTTGATGTGGCAAACTTTTTCTTTTACATTAAAAAAACACCATTCCAAAACAGCACATTTTATTTGTTTCACGTGTGTTCCAAAGAAATTTCATTGTGATTTCATGTGTGAAGCAACGGTGACTCTAATGTGGTTTTTCATTAAGGGTGAATTAACAAAAGTGCATCTTAAAGGATTAGTTCACTCAATAAAGAAAAATTACCCCAGAATTTACTCGCCCTTAAGTTTTTCTAGATGTATGTCTTTCTTCTTTCATACAAACACAATTGGATTATATTTAATAATATAATGACTAATTCCAGCTTTGTAATTGCTTCTGTAAGTCACTTTTAATAACCGTGTCTGCTAAATTATTGCATGCAACTAGTAAACGTGTTAACTAGAGAGTCACTATAAAATGTAAGACATAGACCTGGTAAATAGAATAGTTTATGAAGTTTTAAATATGGATTTTTGCTTATAAAGAAGCCCATTGGTTTGCTTCAAAATATATTTATGAACCCAAACGGAAGTCTTTTGGATTACGTTACATCTCTGATGTTAAATATCTAGGAGTGGGAGCAACAGTGAAAATTGTGTTGATTGGGGCGAGTGTCGATCAGTGCCCTGCCTTCACGACAACACTAAAATCAAGTTAAAGAATTTAGTAACAGAAATGTATAACAATAAAACAAAACTGGGACGCTAAAATAGACTTCAGGAGGGGGAAAGGCCAAAAAAACAAAAAAACAAAACAAAAGTACACTCTAGCTAGTTAGGGAGTAAAACGGTCTAAACCAGAGGTCACCAGTCTCGTTCCTGGGAGGCCCAGTGTCCCTGCAAAGTTTAGCTCCAACTTTCCTCAACACACCTGCCTGGATGTTTCAGGTATACATAGTAAGACCTTGATTAGCTTGTTCAGGTGCATTTGATTAGAGTTGGAGCTAAAATCTGCAGGACACTGGCCCTCCAGGAACAAGTTTGGTGACCACTGGTTTAAACTGACAAACAAGAGAAAAGGGGTTTTAGAAATAAAATGGCACCCACCTCCCTACAGCTTCCAAACACAAAGTTTCAAAAGCTTTTACAACAGATTTTAATTTCAAAAAGTTAAGCACAACAGTAACAATAATCTTTCAACAAAACAACCAGACAGGAAAGAGATCTCTCTCTCTCTCTGGAAAAAAGCTTCAATGTGGCTTGCAACTATCAGGCTTTTAAGCTTGCCAGACAATGAGCAGCAGATGCTATTACTCAACTTCCTCTCCCCTACACCTAGTTGAGATACAGGTAACAGGAAGAGAGGCAGGAAGAGAGGGAGAAAAGAAACCAAACACAACAATACATTCAAACCACCAGGGAATTTAACTATTACTTATGGATTTCTTTTAAGGTGGATAGATGTGTTTTTTTAAAACTTCCAAAAAATCCATGTACCATTTACTACCATTAACATGAACAAGGATATTATTTAACAGTTTAGTTTCATGCAAAGGTGAAAATCTATATTCATTCATTAATTTTCTTGTCGGCTTAGTCCCTTTATTAATTCATGGTCACCACAGCGGAATGAACTGCCAACTTGTCCAGCAAGTTTTTACACAGCGGATTCCCTTCCATCCACAACCCATCTCTGGGAAACTTCCACACACACATTCACACATACACTCATACACTACAGACAATTTAGCCTACCCAATTCGCCTGTACCGCATGTCTTTGGACTGTGGGGGAAACCCACGCGAACGCAGGGAGAACATGTAAACCACACAGAAACGCCAACTGAGCTGAGGTTTATATATATATATATATATATACACCAGCTGACCGCTACCTTAATATGGATGGCTTTCCCACTGTTACCATTTTGTGCAGTTAAATTGTCATATACATCAGCAGACTTGGGACGCAGAGAGGAGAACGGTGGGGTTCGAGTCTGGCTAAGAATGGTTTTAGAAAGTGGGAATGACAAA